TGAGATTAGAATCGCTGAACTGCAGATAACAGTCAGCTGAAGTGGCCTGCAGTGCTGCACCCTAACCACTCAGCTGCCTCTGAGCCAATCCAGAAATGGGAAAGAAGGAGAGAGAACACCAACCCCAGGTGCTCACGGCGTTGTCCACTCCAGAAGGATTCCCATGGATCACTTGCTCTCCTTGGAAGGCCAACTTGTTGATCACGTCCAGCTCCTCCTTAGTCCACCTGGAAGAGCAGAAGAGGCCTTGGCTGAGATCAGCCTCTCCCTGCCCCCTTTCAGCAGCCCTCCTGGCTCCTCTTTTCACCTGCCGATTCGGACCCTTTAAACCAGGCAGGGTGAAAAGACGCACCTGTGTCCCTAGAACTGCAATCTGATCTTTGAGTGACAAGAGTCCAAAATGAAGGGCTTTAAAAAGGTGCCGTAACACGTGCCCAGTCCCACCTGGACAGGTGGAAACAATTCCTCAACTCCTCTCTTTCCCAGTGCCTACCTAGCTGCTTCTTGGCCCTCCTGCAGAGGATATCTGACGGCGCCGCATCCAGAAAGCAACGCCCCTGCCAGGCAGACCGAGTACGCTGCGCTGGACCCCAACCCAGCGCCGGTGGGCAGCTCAGACCAGACCAAGATGTCAACCGTTGGCAGAACCCTGAAAAGATAAGAACACTGCGAGCATTAAAAGTTTTGCAATTCCCACTCGTCGTTTTCCTGACGCTGAGCAGAACTTAACAGTCTTTGCGTTCATGATGAGTCACAACAGGCTAACAGAACAAGTTAAGACCACAGAACTGGTCTTTCCTTCCCTCATTTTCTCTTCTGGTTTTTCTGGATGTGGTGCCTCAGAAACAAGTAATTTGTAAGAAGTGTTGTATGTTGCCTGCTCCTAGTTTCCTGTTTTGTTTTTTTAAAAAGAGATATAATCCACGATTTTATTTCATGGCTCATGAGTTATTTTCTGCAAAAACTATCCCACATTCCTGATTTTAAATTCCTGTAATAATAAAACATCTATTCTTTTTCTTTCATTGTCGATCTTCGTTGGCTGTATCCCATTTTTTTCTCTATTTCTACCGATCCATCGTATCTTGCACTGCGTGTTCTTTAGGATCCCTGTTAATCTGCACCATTCGCCAAACCCTCCCGACATTCCCAGAGGAAGGCAAAACAGTTCCACAATCTCCATCAACGCCTCCAAATTCTCCGTGTGGAAATTGGGAATGCAGGTTTGGGCAATCCTGACTGCTTGGTGCAAAAGAGCCACAACGCAAAGGTGATGGAGCATCAGTCTTACCCGTATTTTGATGCCACAGACAGGTACAAGTAAAGAAAGGCTGCAGCGGCCACACTCTGGATGGCTTTGTGTCCATTATCGTCCCCCGCAAACTCTTTCAGCTTCTCCACTTGTTCAAAGCTGGGCGGCTGCCCTTCAGGCAGTTCAGCTGAGGAGAAACAGCAGGAGAGACATTGTCTTCTACGCCCAGAAAGGGAGGCAAGACGCCTTTCTTCAGGGTCTTTGGACAATCCTTCCTAACTATTCCACGTGCGTCAGGATAGCACCATCCACAAGGGGGGCAGAATTTGATGGATACAATTTGACGATGAAGCTGATTTTGGGAGACCTCGCAAAGAAACCAAAGCCTCATAGACCGAGAGCAGCAGGGAGACGAGGGCAAGAGGTGGCCTGTGGTGGCTTTTGGGGCCGCAACACCACCAGCGAGGTGGCAAACACGCCCACTTCCCCAGCAGCCCTTGTGGCTCAGGTGGGAATCCCCCAAAGGTGCCTTGTGCCTACCTGAGAAGGCGGCCAGCAGGGGCTGGAGCTCAACTGCTTCCCAGCTCAGTTTGCTCCCCAGATTCAGCAGCTGCAGGGAGATTCTCCCATCCTGCCGCGGAGTCATCCGGAGGAAAGTCCGCAAGTCCAGCGCCGTCGCCAGAGCCACCTGCAGGTCCCAAAATCAGCAGAGGAAAGCAGAAGGGGTTGGGGGGGGGGAGAAGCCTTAGTGGCCATTCGGGGATGATGGGTGGATGGACTAAAATCAGGGGGGGGGGTCCCCAACTTGGGGACTTTTAAGACTTGTGGACTTCAACTCCCAGGATTCCCCAGCAGGCTTAAAGTTCCCGAGTNCAAGGTTGAGAAACACTGTCCTAACCACTGCTGGGGAATTCTGGGAGTTGAAGTCCGGACATCTTCAAGTGGCCAAGGTTGAGAAACACTGGATTAAGTGATCAAATGCAACCGGGGGGAGGGAGGGAGGGCTGACAGGCTGGTTACAAGAGCATTTGGAAGCCCTGTTTTTCCTCCCCTTTAAGCCACTCAGCAACTCATTAACCAGGGAACCTGCCCCCCCCATCCCCCCACCCCAAAAAGCACATTAGAGACAAATCAGGAGAGAGACAGTTAATAGCTCAGGGCAGACTTGCCAGTCCCTGTCAACTGATGGGTAAGAAGGAAAGCCCCTCAGGAGCAGAGTTCAGGAGATGGGCTCTCATGCCTGGCATTTTTAGTGACCTTGAGTGAGTGCAAAAGGTGCGAGGATTTATACTAGTGTACCCAAAGTTTCCCCGTTAGCAGCAGAGCCACGTCAAGAGCAGAGGACTGGTTAGGAAGACCCCGGCTACCTGCCTCTCACCCCACCCCACCCCACCGGTGCTCCAGCAGCCCCCACCCCCACTGACTGCGCCCGTCCCAGCCTGACTGACCGAGTCCTTGCCGGGCAGCCTTGGAGATTGCCTGGATGTCCAGTCCCAGGCGGAGGAAGAGTCGCTCTTCACGGCTACCATCAGCTGCCCTTCAAGGCCTTCTGCACTTCCGCCTTCAGGCACGGCAAGGCGTGGGCGCTTATTCCAGGCGCCCCGATGACCGTCTCCCAGCACTCGAAGCCGCAGTGGGTCAGGTCTCGGATGGCGTCTTCCACTGCCGAAGGGGCGGTGCCTGCCAAGAGACGTTGCCCCCCCCGTTAAGACACTCAAAAGTTTTATTTATTTTATTTTATTTTATTTATTCAAAACAGCAGATGTGGGTAATAAGCTGCCCACCCAGCCCAAGCGGTGCGGAAAGTCTGGCACTCACAAAGTGCAGAAAGGAGAGAAGGGAAAGGAGAGGAGGAAGGAAGGAAGGAGAGAAGAAAGGGGGGAAAGGAAGGAGAGAAGGAAGGAGGGAGGGAAGCAAGGAGGGAAGGAAGGATGGAAGGAAGTAGTTGTAGTTGAGTTTATTTATAGGCCGCCCTTTTCCCTGAGGGGACTCAGGGCGGCCAACAACTTGTATGG